CTCTGTCGCCATCCCAGTATATAAAGCAGCTGTATAGGTGATATATGCTCAAGAGTCAGAGAAATGTGTATTTCTTTAAATAAAACCCTTAAAGTGTGTGGTGTTGCCAAATCAAGAAATTGATACTACAGATGCATTCACATAACCTGTTCAATTTTGATATGATGGTGCAGCAGTCTAAGATAGTGGATCTGGATGGGACCTAAAATTGCTGGTTAAATGGTAATTTGGAATAACATTTGTGTTTTAGGAGTTCAGAAGACTTGATAAGGAGAGCACAATACAACAAAGATCTTTGTTCATGCACTTACACTTTCAAATTTCCTTTTTGAAGGCAGAGAGTATTCATAGTACTTAAACTATATGTGTGTTTGTCTTCACAAAGTCACTGTTGCCTTTTTTTATCCTTGGGAAAAGAGAAGGTAAACTCAGCACAGTTAATGTGCAGCCTTTGAGTGTGTATAACTAGGACGTTGTATTTTTGTTGAATAATTGCATCTCAAAGTAGCAGTATGTTTTGTGATTTTTCATTTGTGTGTTTTTACAGTGAGTGAAAAAGGCACCTGAGTCTTTGGCCACTGCTGTTTAGTTTCAGGTTTCCCTGCCTGAAACGGAGGCAAATCAGACCTTCCTTCCATTTCAGTACATGCTAACCTGAAACAGAGCATCCTAACTCCAGAATATTGCTAGAATTCTATATTTGCAATATATAGATTAAAACTTGGGTGGAAGATCATGTACTGTGTGTGCACAACATGCAGGTTTCCAATATCTTATTTTTTATTTCAGAACTGAATTCCTTTCAGGAGGACAAATGGCTCTCCTTTGTCTTTTCCCATAGTGACTATTCAGCTGTGAATTGCATTACTGCACTAACTTCTGTTACATAAGAAAGCTGTCTTTTCCTTGACAGATCTACCTGTTTTATGTATTGTGTGCCCATTGCAGTGTCAGTTTTGACTGTGCTGTAGCACTATCCCAGCTGAGAATTAACTCTTTCCTTTAGTGTCTCAAAAGAATTCTTCACAGAGTTGCATTAGATGATTCTTGTGAAACGCAGGAGGTTTCCCTGCCTGTGCAATCTTAGTCTTTGGTTTGACAAATAGGATACTTCATATCACTAGTGATTTGCAAGAGCAAAATAAACTTGCCTCATTCTGCATGTACATTGCTTGCAGACCTGGCTCGTAGGTGAACTTGGTGCTGCTAACACTTACTAGTTAGCTTCTTAGCAACTTGCAAGAGTTGCCTCCTTTGTGGAAGCTACGTGTTATAGAACTTTTGCCTTTTCTGATTTCTGGGAAAATGGTAGGGAAAAAATGCTAGAAGTAAATAAGTATGTTTAGTTAAGAATTGCTTAATTGGCATAGCTGTACCAGCAGAGTGCTTCAGGCAAGACGTGGTTCTAGGAAGGATACCTGTCTTTGGAGCAGAACCCACTTCATCTGGAAACTGCTGAATGACAGTACTGAAAGTTGTGCTGTAGCCCTTAGCAAAGACAGGAATGGTAAGGCTTACCACACTCTGGCTACCTGATCTCTTAGCAGTAGACAACATACAACCAATTTTAGACTAACTTTGTAAGAAGCTGCATGATATAAGCAGAAACAGAACTTCTAAACGTACAAAACTTTTTCATGTTGGATCACTATGTGTTTTAGTTTTATAACCTGTTTAATTTGTCCGTTGAGCAGGCTGCTGGATGGAAACAAACTCCATTTATATACAGTGTGGTAAAGAGAAAGAATGGGCCTGGCACCTAATACAGCCTGTTCTGTGGAGACTGACACCTTTAGCAGCAAAGTGACCAGTGTAGTAAAGACCTATGGCTCTGTTTTTCTTCCTCTTCCCTTTACTTTTAATACTTATCTGTATTAAAACTGTATATTTCCAGCATTGTTTATGAGCTATGTGGCCGTGTAGGTCAACTCTTCCATAGTGAAGCTCTGGGGTATGCGTTGATTAAAAGTTGTTGTTTTGAGCTTTGTGGAGTAGGGAGGGAGTTTGTAAGATGATAGAAGGTAGGATTACAGTTCTGGCTTTATCGTAACTTTAGTTGAGTAAGTTAAATTCTTGGTAGTTTTTTTTCCCATCTACTAAATAAGAATAAATAAGTTTAAGCCATGTTTAAGGCCTTCCAGTGCAGAAACACTGGAATATGGGGTTCTGTTAATTTACGTGAGAAATCAGTTTTGTGCTATTTTTTCATCTTCATGCAAGAATAGCAGCTCTTAGTTTCTGAGTAGCTTGGAATCCTGTCTTTTGGAAATTGTTGATACATTCTTCTGTCGCTATGTCAGTGTTGCCATGTGCCAATTTCCTAATCTCCTATGCAGGACAAAATGGGAACTACTTAAGTGTTCTAGTATTTTGCTTTCTGTCGTTAGTTGGGAGGCTGCTGTTTGAAAGCTCTGTCAGTCTCCACGAAAAGCAGCTGGGCCTCAGGAAATTAAAATTTTTCCTGTGTATTTGCACAAGTCTCAGACTGCAAAAGAAATACTCACCTCCAGGCCCCAGAAAACCTTGTTTGAATAGAATTCTGTATGTAAATCAGGTACAAATCCTTCTCCAGTTACAGCAGTCATCAAGCTATCATGCAGGATACAAGAAAGAAAATAACCTGTAACCTGATGGAGGGAAATCATGGTAGATATTTGTTGTATTTTAGTATATCATTTGGTACAGAATTCCTGTCTGTAAGGCTAATGCTAAGAAACACACTTCTGCCATAGAGGTGAGAAAGTTCAGCTTTCTCCATCAGAGCGCGTGAAAGAGCGGGGCTGTGTGTGAAAGGCAGGCTTGTCTGACACAAGGCTGGGAGAGCTGTTGCATGTCTGGATTGTGAATTAAATTGCAGTAGACAGCAAGGTGCTCTGAAAAGGTGCATTTGGAGGTCTATGGAAGTAGATAGAGCCGAGGGACCTCGTCCAAGAATTTTTTGACTCTTTACAGCCACATTGTCACTGGTCATTTATTTTTGGGGTGTGAAGTTAGTTCCTTTGAGTTCTCTTTTTATTTCTGGGTTTTTTTCTGTTGTTTTTTTGTTTTATTTTTTTAGGGGATACTTAATTTGGTAATTACCAGAGTTTGTGTATCTCTCATTAATATTGTTTACATTTTGATGTCTGTTTTGTGGGTTTTAACAATAATTTAGTTGTTTATTGTGTTCTGCTGTCTGAGAATTTGAAGATAAGGTATTGTATTATACAGATAAATACAAATTGTAAGTCAAAAGCATTGCATTATGGGTGCCTGCAGCCTTAGCTACAGTTACTGTTTGGAGAAGAATGATTTATGGGGGTTTGCGCCCCAAAAGGAAGTGAAAGAATAGGAAAGTCTTCACACTAGAGATGCTAAGCCTGTAAAGAGCTGTTAACATCTACAAAAATGATTTAAAGTTGTGCTCAACTCTATTTGATTTGCAGCATATACTTGCAGTTCTCAGTGGCATGTTTCTGCCCTGTGTTCTTGGTTTTTTTTAAAGTACCAAGACTTCTGCAGTCCATAGTGCACCAAAGTGACAAAGTCTTTGTCACCTGGCAAAGACCAAGAGAATTCTCCTGTGCTGTTGCTGGCTAGGTCATTCATCTCGGGCACTGAGGCAGTAAATAGCTCTTATCTGATACACTGAATTAGGCAAAATTCCAGCAGGGAGGGTGATGACTTGACCTTTTTGCAGATGCAAACGTGGTGAACATGGCTTAATTGTGATCCTCCTCTACAGTAAATTTTAAGAATATCAAATACTGCTGAGGTGGCAAAACTGTCATTTCTGTGAAAACACAGTTACTGATAATTTGTATCAAATAGAGCAAATTTAAGTTTAGGCAGAAAAGTAGATCCAGTGTCCCCATTTGTGTATTTGGACTAACTTCTGTCAACAAACACAATTACTAGCAACTCTATTGTAGCACAATAATGTAGTAAGGTGACTAAAGCTGAGACAGGAGGAAACATTTGGTAGTGGTAAATATAAACGGTGTCTGGAAGCACAGCAGCAGCTTTCTCCTGGTTAGTCAGGTCACTGGGAGATATTTTTTAAAGGCTTCACCTGTGTCTCTTTCCTTTTTAATCAAAAATAAATTCTCATTAGAACTAGTTGGTTATTTAGAGGTTATTAGGGCTGCACAAGTTCAATGTTGAACTTTCTCTTAGCAATGTAAAGGACGTCCTATTTTTCTTGTTTATTGTTCTAGCTGTTAGTTTTTTCCAAGTGCAGGAAAACAAGTAGTAACATAATTTTCTCTGGTGTTTGTAGTTTTGTGAACTAGTAAATTGACTTGGATGCTGTCTGTATAGGACCTTTTAAAGTTCAAGCAGTTGAATCATGTAGGAGAAACAAGTTAAAACTGAAACTGTTGAAATGTTATGTGTATGTATCTCTCTGAACCATTGTCCGTTCTGTCTGCTTATGCATCTGACCTTCTCGGGGGTCTTGCTTTGTTTCTAGTTTGTATGGTCTGCTGCAAAGTCCATTGTGAAGACTGGGTAGTTGATCCTCGTCTGGAGGCTTTCTAAACATTGTGCTGCCCTAGATTATTACTGTGAAAGAAGAAATGGAGATGCCAGAAAACGGCACAAAAAGACAAACTGCTGCAAAATCCTTCAGGACTCTGGGACTAAACTTACCAATTCATCTGCGCTGTTACCATCTTGATGTTTTTCCTGCAAATTTTCTCCAGGAAT